CAAGATGATTTACAGATGTTATCCTTGCTTTACTTCAGTAGAAGTTCACAATGTCACGTAAGTCCACAATGTCACGTAAGTCCGCAATGTCACGTAAGTTCACAGTTTCACGTAAGTCCACAATGTCACGTAAGTTTACAATGTCAAGTAAATTTACAATGTCAGGTTAGTTCAAAGTCACGTAATTTTACAATGGCACGTAAGTTTACAATGTCACGTAAGTTCACAATGTCACGTAACTTTACAATGGCACGTAAATTTACAATGTCAGGTAAGTTCACAAAGTCGCGTAATTTTGCAATGGCACGTAAGTTTACAATGGCACGTAAGTTCACAATGTCACGTGAGTTCACAATGTCACGTAGTTTCACAATGTCATGTAAGTTAACACTAGGTCCACATTAAGCAAGGTTTGAGAGGGTGCCCTGTGCATGTGCCGTGTAGTTTTACAGTCTATAAATTCTGGTAATTTATTTTGTCGCAGGACTCTTGCAAACAACCACTCAGCTGTGAACCTGTTGATGAAGTTTACCTGCCACGGAAAACACCTGAAAGTCCTGGAAGCCATTCTCAAACCACATAGTATTTTACACTCAAGTAAATACATACCTTATTACTTTCTTATCTTCATTACTTGATCACTCTTCATACTCACTCCTTTACTGACAACTTCATATTCTGTAACCCTATGTATTGTGGATGAATGGACTTGATCGTCAGCCTTAGGGAGAGCTTGCTTGAAGCGTTGTACAGCCTCTTTCTATAAATGAAGTGTAGACAAGTCTCAAAATTCGTCGCAAATAGACGTAATATTTGGGCGTAATGTTCTCCGATTTGAAACCACGTATCATTCCATAGAGTATCATTTCTTTGTTTAACGGTTGCGAATGAGAAGACACATGAATAGGGATACAACTCAAACAAAGTATCTTATTCTCAAGAGAATGAGACGTGGTCTGAAATGAGAAAAACGTTGCGCCCAAGCTTAGCGGGTCTATTGCTAGAGCAGCCTTTGTAGGACGATGGAAAACGTACAGTACGATTGTGATGTGCCGTGACCGCGACGATACTATGTTATAGTATTTTGATTGGATGAATAGTAACCTCGCGCATTGTGATTGGCCAAACGTGTGTCACTGACGCCGTGCCCTGACAGTGACCTGAGTGTAGCATAAGCGTTCATCATCATACAAAATCTACTCAAAATAAGTATGGTGTTTGTAAGCAGTTAAGAAAATGTGTCGCAAGTAACTATACTAGCTTCCATAATTTATTATTTCGGAATTTCTTCTAAAATATTTCTCTGGATTTCACAGAATGTTACGAGCCAAAGTGCCACGTCCCGTCTCCTGTAGAACACCATGTAGCGCCGTGTTCTGCACCCACAAGCCAATGTACTGCTCCTGTATGCGTTGGTACAAGTCAATATCAATTCACCCCTTATCCTACACCATGCCCAGCGTCATACCCTGTAACCATGGTTCATGTTCCTGCAGAACATGTACAACAAGAGGTGCATACTCCTGTTTCATATCCAGTACCATACCCCCCTACTCACCCCTCTATACACCATGATAGTCATTCCAACGAGGATCAGGGATCCGCAGAAAACACAGAAAACGAGGCACATGAGAATGAAGAAGAAAAGAATGCGGAGCCGCAGCCGATACAGTTGATTGGACAGACGTACATCTTCCCTGAAGAATATGGCCAACATCAATCACCTGAAAATGAACACGAACAACACCCAAATAATAAAGCACAAGAGAAACCATCTCAGTCATACATGCATAACTATGGATATCACACGACATATCCACTGGCCATCTACCCGCAGTCTAATCCATGTACCCCACAGTGCCTAAACGTCTGTGCTCCGTCCTGTCATCCAGCATGCTGCAGGTCCCGAATGTCAGAAAGATACAAGGCGTTTATACAGAGAATGAGGGAAGCAGCTAATGGACGTACTCTTAAATACCGCAATCCATTGAGTGCGTGGTAAAAACAAATTATGCAGTTATAAATTAATGTCATATTCATTTTGAAATAATGAGAGATACCTGTGGTATTAAATTAATGAGCTGTGGTTGCTGTGTATATAGTTTATAAGGGAATGTATGGGAGTCATGATGAAGACATGACAATAAAATGTTTCACTCGACAATTTTGCTTTAAGACTTGATTCTGTCTTTGCTTGTACCTTTTTCAGTCTTCTGGCAAAGTTTCAGCGCGATTTGGGGCTTTTATTTTGTTGTTTCGAAATTTGCTCTTCTCTACTTAGAGTAGTTTACGGTCTAGCAGTTTGCATTTGACGCGTTCAAGGCCGTGGTGTGACATCTGTGTCTTAAGGTTCCACGTGAACGCGGTTGAAAGTAACCTTTCGGGCTAAAATTTTATTCTCTTAGAGTGTTATATACTCATGCGAGTATTGGCTCGTAACTTAGTTTTATAATTCAATGAGAACGACACAGACAGTTGACTCAAGGTGAAAGTGAAATTCGATCGAAAAGAGGTTTTTTTGATAGGGGAAGAATGGTTTTACGGTGGATTTTGTATTAGCATAGAGAGTTGACTTTCTTCATATGTGCCGTTGTTTGTGAATGAGATGAGAAACTCATCTAACCACCAAATCCGTACAGGGTACGTCCTTGGCGTTTGAGAGCGTAGACCACGTCCATGGCTGTGACGGTCTTTCTCTTGGCGTGCTCGGTATAGGTGACAGCATCACGGATGACATTCTCAAGGAAAACCTTGAGGACACCACGAGTCTCTTCGTAGATCAGACCAGAGATTCTCTTGACTCCACCACGACGAGCAAGACGACGGATGGCGGGCTTGGTGATACCCTGGATGTTGTCCCGAAGGATCTTACGATGACGCTTGGCGCCTCCTTTTCCTAGACCTTTTCCTCCTTTACCGCGACCAGACATTATGACTTAGGATTTGTTACCTGAGTAATGATGTAAAATATCGCGCTCAAGAGGCTTTTAAAGCATGAGGCCGAACCACCACGTAAACAGATAAAGCATAATCTACTTGAACTTTGAACAAAAACAGCCAAATAATGATAGAAACAGCACGTCATCAGCTAATGAGGCAGCATTGTGATCCATGTTTTGATGTTCAGGATCAAGGTCATTAGCTTCATTGCTCATTTTCTCGCTAAATATCAACCCAATTGTGAAGATTTTTCACATGCTAGTAGTTTTTGATGGGATAAAACAGCAGATGATGTTAAATCAAGTAATAGTTAAGAAGCCAAGTTTCTATCTTGGTTAAAAAGATTTGTGAGCTTCAAGCATGCTTGATGAATGCTTGAATAAGAAGAAGTTTTTTCTGTCCAATCAAATTGCACTTTTTCATCAACCAATCATGAAAGAGCGAAAGCTAGGATAAATTATAGGGATGAAATACAGTTTCATATCATTCTGTTCAGAGAATACTGCTAGAAAGATGGCCCGTACCAAGCAAACTGCCCGTAAATCTACCGGAGGAAAAGCTCCCCGTAAACAGCTCGCCACCAAGGCAGCACGTAAGAGTGCCCCAGCAACTGGTGGAGTCAAGAAGCCTCATCGTTACAGGCCCGGTACCGTCGCTCTTCGTGAGATCCGTCGTTACCAGAAATCAACTGAGTTGTTAATCCGCAAGCTGCCCTTTCAGCGTCTGGTCCGTGAGATCGCTCAGGACTTCAAGACGGATCTCCGATTCCAGAGTTCAGCTGTGATGGCCCTTCAGGAGGCTAGCGAAGCTTATTTGGTCGGTCTGTTTGAAGACACCAACTTGTGCGCCATTCACGCCAAGAGAGTCACCATCATGCCCAAGGACATTCAGCTTGCCCGCCGAATCCGTGGCGAGAGAGCTTAAGTGACTTCTCCTAGTCCAACAAAACAAACGGCTCTTTTAGGAGCCATTACATGCTAATAAAGTCAATGATATATGCTTGGTATCATAAGTCTTAAACTTCTTTTCTCATACTAAAAGTTCCAGCCACTTCGGAAACCCATCAATGCCATTTTTTCTGTTTCCCGAAGACGGCGATTGCTCTCAAAACTTAAACCCAGCTGCTAATAAAATTATTGAAAATTTGTAAATTAAATCCTTTATCGTTCTGAAAGGTAGTTATTGAAGATAGAAAATCTAGCCTGAAGAAGAAAGAAGATCAAACTATGAAAAAGTTACTTCTCAGTGCAGTTATTGCCGATTGGGATGCTGGAACGAAGTGACAATTGCTTTCACATGTAACATCACTGTTTGAGCATGTTGAAAATATTTCTTTTGAATTTCTTGGTTCTAATAACCATCCATAAAAAGATTGTGAGAAATTCTATCAACATCGTTAGATCCATTTTATGATTTTTTTTTTCCAGAGCACCCAGAGAACCTTTGAAACACCGACTTTTGCCGACATGATAAAGTGTCATGCCGCAGCATTGAAACGTTTTTGTCGTTTCTAGAAAAACACAAATTTTTTGGCGAACAATGTTTTAAAAGCACAAAATTATCAAAATCTTATAGTCAGATAAATTCACTATGTTGTTAAAACAACATTAGTGAGTTCAGCTTAGGTGCTGAATAACAAGCAAAACGTTCGAGGAAGAATCTTTTAATGTTGAGAAAACTTTCTTGAAAAACCTTCATATCTAAACAAAGAGCGCGAGGGTTTTGATGAAAACGAGTCCGATAAAACGTTATGAGATTATCTTACTTCAAGGAAACTTATGACTTGATAGAGTCTGATTTTCTTGCTAAAAAATTTGGTCAAAGTCAAGTAACAAACACAGTCGAGTCATCAGCGTCATCTTGGAAAAATGCTGCCAAGAAGATGCGTTCTCGGACGTCCGTGTACTGTGCCCCACACCTCAAGCTCGCTTTCCAAAGGAAAGGGAGCTAGTGGATCCTTCAAGCTAAACAAAGCTGTAAAAGATGAGAAACCAAAGAAGACAGTTGCAAAGAAGCCCGTTGATAAGAAACCTGCCAAGGAACCCGCTGCTAAAAAGACCCCCAAGAAACCAGTAGAGAAGAAAACTAAGTCACCGAAGAAAACACCGACCAAAAAGTCAAAAACTGCCGCTGAATCAAAGAATAATAAGAAACCCATTGTAGTGACTCGACGCCATATCTAGATCAACTATTTATTATTCACAACTTAGCTAATTATCATACATGATTAGTTGCTATGGATACTACATCTCTCCCTTTCTTCCAAATGTCCATGTGTCTTTCGTATGATTACTGAATTATATAACCTAATTATTATCATTGCTAAATACTGTTTTCTTTTTTTCTTTTTTTTTTTTCATGTTCAAGTACAATAAACTCAACTATAACAATGTTCCATGTCCTCTATCCCTAAGGGTACATATAGTAGTCTTCAAACTTCTTGGGTCTTCGTCTTTCCCTTCTTGGTCGGCTTGCTTTCTCTCCTTCATCTTGTGGTTTTTCTCTTTCCACTCGCTCTTCGGTTTTCTCCTGTTTAACTTCAGTCATCTTTGATGATTTCTCCTTCAGCTCCGCTTGTTTCTTTTCGTTGTTCGGTGGTTTCTTCCGATCCTCATGACTTTTGGTTTCCCTCAGA